GTGGTTTTTGATTTGTTATTTTATATATTTTAGTTATATGATAAATAATACCATATAAATATCAATAATGTTAATTATGTTGTTATTATTGTTATTAAAATTTTAGGCTAGTGATCCGACCGGAAAAAATGGTCCAAAAACTGATTTACCTGATATTGTTACCGTTTCGGTAAATAATAATATTATTATTATTGTTAATTTTTTATCTAAATTGCCACAAATAATTTATTCCTTTATTTCTTAAATTGAATGCTACAAACAGGAACCCAAAGATGAACCAATCATCACACAGCCTACTTCTGAGGATTTCCAAAAATCAGCAATACCACCTCCTGATGTTGTAGCTGTTTCACAATCACCACCTATTGCTCCTGCAGAGTATGGAGGTGGTGGTGGCGGAGGTGGAGGTGGTGGTGGTGGAGGTGGAAGTTATGAATGGGATAAGCAATAAATTATGATGATGATTCATCAAATAAAAAAATTCAGCCAAATACTTTTATTTATTAGCTGTTGAAATAGTAAAAAAAAAAAATGATGTTATTATTATTAATATTAATTAATTAAAGATATGAAATGTTTTTTCAAGAAAAAGAAATACCACATGTGTATACATGTTCGCTTACCTTGTAATAATTCCTGGAATTATTCGATATTGATGAAATTATCCAACATAATTTGAATTAGATACCATTCAAACTCAACAACTCCAGATCTAATGATGGTTCAAAATGATAAATCCAAATGTAAAATTTGTTTTACATATATATTAATATATAGCAAAGTTCTTTGAGAAATTGATCAACAAATTCAATTAATTTCATTCACTGAAAATTTTAGTCGGCAGAGTTAAAACTGGTGCTAAATAGTTCAAATCGATTTATTATTTCTATGTAAGGAGGGATTAGAACCAACCCAGTTTAAAGGTTTAAACTGTGAAACTGTGTACATTAAAAATTTTAAAAAAATTATTATTTATTTTACAAAAATTTGAAGGCTTTTCTGGTTATTATTAAAAAAATGGTGGTGGTGATTATTGATCAGAAACCCTTCATTCTATTAAAAGAATGAAATCATCATTCCAGTTAATTATTATCACTGTTTTGCCTTTTTACGCCACCATTACTACCACCAGTATCGTTTTTTCATCCGAAGCACAATTAAAACGACAAAGAAGAATATTGTTATGGATGATTCATTGTCACCATCATTATTGATTGACAGAACATGAGGTGAGCAATAAGTAAAGTTATATTCTCTTTAAATGGATATGATTGACTATTTTGTTTTTAATGACCAATCAATCCTTCAACCCGTAAGAAAATGAATTGTCATCCATCATCATTACTATATAGTTACTACCGTTCCAAAAAGATCAACCAGACCCTTTGATAAGTAAGTAGAAAAAAATTTATTTATTTATTGTGTTAAATTATTGATTTCTACTTCATAGAATAAATTATAACAATAATAAAAATTATATGGGAAAGATTGGTTTTTATATAATACATCATTCTGATTTCATGAATTCACGCTTGAATTTTTTGCTTATATACACAGAAAGAAAAATTACAAACATAAGCAGAACCACCTTTTGCCTGCTGCACAAAGGTTTCATGCTAGAAGCTGACGTTTGCAACAGGACAACACACATCACGTGTTGCGAAAAAAATTCATTGCTGAAAATGGGACTAACGTGATTAATTGATTGGTCATCCAACAATCCTGATCTCCATCCGATAGAGAACAGATGACATATCATGAAGAATAATGTTGAAGCAATTTACAGTTGAAAAATTCCTCAAGAAATGGTTAAAAATTATTATTATGTTGTGTAATTGTTATGCATTTTTTTTGTGACCACCATTTTGACAGCAAAGAAATTTGAATATATTAATTTTTAATATTAATAGAAATGAGGCTTTAGATGTTTTTATGGGGAAATGATTTTAAATCATTTAGAATAGTTAGTTGGGTAGTTTTGATGAATGGAAGAAGATCCATAATTTTATATCAAGCATTGTTGAATCATGAAAATGTTGAATCATTCAATTGGTTTTTCAATTGTATAAAGAATGTTTTTTTAGAGCAACCAGGCTTGATTATGAGTGGATTATGCATGACATTTTTTTGGAATCATCAATTGAGAGTAGTTTTCCAGACAAAAATATCATTTGTGGAGTTTCCATATTTACAATAATTTGCATTATAATTTTATCCAAATAACTATTCTTTTCAGTTCACCAATTGTATTTGATAGAATACAGAATCGAATTATTCAAAAATTACCTAAATAAATATATTCACAACTCCAAAGAAAAATGGGCTGGTCATGGAAATGCAGAATAATGACAGCTGGTGAAAAAAACATCATCAAAGATTAGAAGGTCTGAATGCTGTTATAAAGACAGTTAAATGCCTCGTTGATACACAGATTAAAGTAAACATTCAAAAGTCTGAAAAAAAGCCTCCTAGTATCCTGCCAAAAACATGTATCCTTCAATATTACATTCTCAACTTACAATGAGAAATACTATTCTATTTTTTCTCAATCCAGAATTAAAATTGAGATGGTTACTTTATGATCATATAGTTTCTTAATATCTTCTGTTGAGGAACTTTTAAATGTGCTAAACGATAATGATAATAATGATATTACCAATGTGACCAACATCACCAACTACAAATACTACCAGTAACATTAATAATGACAATAACATTATTACTACCATTGCCACCACTTCCATCAACAATACAGTGACAATATAAATGCGATATCACTAGCATCAGAAGTTTTCCTTTAAGAATTACTTCTTTCATCCAGCATGGAACTGTCTAAAGTATGGATTCTGAGACACTATTTTGGACATAGAAAACAATATGTAATTGTTTTCAATGATGGTGCACACGCGTGCTTCTATCACATGAAGAGATAGTTTGCAGACAATTTTACATACAAGTCAAATTACCAAATTCTACATAACTATGTTAAGGTGGCTTACAGATGGATAAATTAAAACAGAAAATTATTACAAGTAATGTTGTTGGCATTCATCAACAACTTCCAAAATATTTGGAATTATTTGGTAATGACTTAATTAAGTCCCAATTCCAATCCACCAATAATTCCAGATAAAAAAAATATATATCATTTTTTTGGATGGTTTTAAAGTTATCACTCAAATAATGCTGATAAAATATAGGAAGACAAAATATACTTGATAAGGCTTATATGAAATTAAAGGAAGGGTGCATGATTAATGATGATGATGATGATGATGATGATGATGATGATGATAAAACAAAAAGTTCAGTTCCAACAAGAACTAAAGATCATTCTTTAATCCTCAAAGAAGAACTAATCCAAAAAGAAATACTACAAAAACAATATTAAAACAAGAAAAAATATAATTTAAAAAATTATTTATTTATTTATTTCTATTTACTAATTCATTTACAATAAATTTATCCATGGAAAAATATTAAATATATTAAATTCACAATCATATCAACTTTAAATCAGAATCACAAACATCATAAAATTAGCTATTATTGGATTGGAATCCTACAAGCATCCCATTATAAGTTCAATTTGAATAATATGTTGATCAAGTTGAATGTTAATTGATTGTTCTTAGTTGTTAATGGTTCTAAACTCATGTTATGGGAACAAAAAGAGAGAAGATAGTCAGTTTTGTAGTTTAGAGCACTGAATAATAAATTAATTACTTGTATAGGAACATATACAGGCTGGTTTATACAAGAGTGAATTACTGTTGATATATCATTACTGTAAGGTATTATGTTTTTTCACCCAGTATGAGATAGTATAATTCTCCATGCTCACATTTCTCTTTCTTTAAATTCGTGGTGTGGTGGATATTTTTCTTTTAAAGCAGAAGTAATTTCAATTGTTGTTTTTTTGTCATTGTACCATTCAATGAAAAATTTATTCGGGTTTGATTCATTTCGTCAACAATCATTTCGTCAATAGTCATTTTGTCGACACCCATTTCATCGAAAGTTTGTTTCATCGAAAGTTCATTTCGTCAAATGTTCATTTCATTGAAAATTATTTCGTCACAAAAAAAAAAACTTCATTAAACAAATTTCTCCTCACACTTTCACACATTTCACTTTCCTCATCTAATTTCTTAACTAACTTCCCACACTCCTCACATCTAACTCTTTTGGTCTCTGGCTCGAGGATGAATAATTTTCAACAAAATGAACATTTGACGAAATGATTGTCGACAAAATAATTTTCAATGAAGTAAACGCGACCGATCCCAAATGGATGAAATGTTATATCTGTTAACAATTGATTATTAATTTCTGGTTTATCATGCCCTGTAACAAGATATCCCAAATATTTTGCTCTAGAAGCAAACAGCTGCTGATAAAGTGTATTTACAGTAGCTAAAGAATTATCAAAAATATTGCATGTTAAACTATTTGCTTCACAAATATACCCAGGTTTGTACAAGCATTCTTTATGACCTTCAATAATAGTAACAAAAAAATGAGTTTTATTAAGGATAACCAATGTTTATTCTAATAGGATATAAAATAGAATTGTCATCAGTTTGTCTAATTTTCTGCCAATATCACCAAAATGTAAAATTTTCTTTAAAAAACTAAAGGAGACTGGAAAAACTGTGTAGTTTTTACTTTTACTCATTAAAAATAAATTATATTATTAAAAAATCAAAATATTCATTGCACAATTCAATGTCAATTATAAAAAATAAGATCAATAAAAAGATCAAGTTGATGCATCCATGTAATAACAGACTAAAAAAATAACTGATTCATGTTGCAAAGGTTGTATATGGTCTCTTTCTTGGTCAAAGAAAAAATATATCTGAAGCTACACAATTTGTCTTATTATAAACAGTATTCCAAGAAGTCATACAAATGTCTCTACCTCTACCATATATTCTATTGATCTCACTACACCTTTTGATATTTCTTCTGTGGTTGAAGGAGTTAATTGTAACACCATGAATAAAAATAATGTAGACTACAATAACAAAAATAGTAGTCACGTTCTTCTGCAGTAATGATGATGATAGCGAGATTTCTATGACCTTCGAATTTATTACCTATTACATTTTTTATCAGATTGATTGAACTGCAATTGATTTTTATCAAGATTTCATAGTATAATAAAAATAAACCATGCATAATGCACGTGATAATTTGTGTAAAGTCTTTAAACTGAAAAATAATATTTTTTCCACTATCTATTCATGACAACCACATTTTCAGGAAATGCGAATGAATTAGAGTTGGCAATCATTTAAGTAGTGGAGTGGTACTATTTTTGTTCTTTTGTTATTGATTAAACAGCTTTAGCTATGCATTCCATTAACATGCAATTAAATTTATACAAGATGACACCATTCCAAAAATAAAGAATTTGATTCAAAGTCTCGCGAAGATAGGGTTGTTAATGGAACATAATGGGTTGGGTTGGGTTCATATTATTGTGGAGCAAGTGTTAACCCAACCCAACCTGGGTTAAATGTACTGGGTTAATACTCCATGGGTTGCTCCATGGAGTAATAATTATAATTATAATTCTCATTTTAAAATAATTATACCGATTTTTAAATTATAATAATTTTAAAACTTGCATATCAAATATAATTATATATTTTGGTTCCAAATTTAATTTCCTTTTTATTAAATGTTTAAAAATTGAATAATAATTGTAAAAGTTTTAATAAGAATAAAATTTTACTTGAATTAAATTTTCAAAAAAAAACTTAGTTTTGCCGCCCTTCCCCTGACCACCACTTGACCACCACCCCTACGAAAAATAAGTCTTTATATAATTTTTTATCACGTAAATAATCATAAACACTCTGTGTAAATAATTAATTAGATTAGATATTAGAAATATTTAATTGATTAATAATCAAATTACTAAAATAATTTGGAGCAACCCGGGTTATAATAAAATATTTTGCTCCGGGTTAGTACAAAAAATTAGAAATCTTAACCCACTCCATGATGGAGTGATACATAACCCAGGTTGATGCCAGAGCATTATTCTCCATTTAACAACCCTACGCTAAGAACACAGAATCCAAAGTATTTAAAGTATTTCTTTGGAACATACTGTTTGAAATAAATCTAACAATTAGTTACCCTTAGGTTATTGCTCAAATTGAAAAAGAGATTAAAGTAGCGTTGGAAGAAATACCTAAATATGATGATATAGATGTCATTGAAATAGATTTGCCACCCATTAATGACAAAAAACATGAGAAAATTCTTGAAACTATTCATAATATTTTCCAAGCTGAAAGGATCAATGATAGACTGTTCATCAAAGTAAGTGTTATTATTGTTTATGATTATTTTATGTTCATTTTCTAATTTTTGTTATTACTCAGTTTGATGGTTTAATGAAGGAATGAATACATAAGGCATTAATGAATTCACTCAATCAACAACTTCCAGCTTGGTTGGTTGTAACTAATGGGTTATCTGTAGTTAATGGTAATGAATTTCGACCAGATGTGGGGGGATGGAATCAATGGTCAACTCGTCGGCACCTGTCATTAATGTATCTCCACCTCCTTTATTATGGGTTGAGGTAATAATTTTCTTATAGAAATGTGTAATCGTTTCTTAACAATCTTGTTATTACTAAATTATTGAACATTACAGGTGGCATTCAATAGGACTAAGGATCGTGTCAATGTCATTAAACAAGATTGAATATGTTCAGCCATATTGTCCAAACACTGAGTTTGTGTTAATTGTTATTACTTTTGGAATATCACCCTTTCAAGCAAATCTAAACCCCGGGATTATATCAGTTGCAGTAATATCACCAAGAACAGATCATCCTTCAAGAGCACCATATATTGGTCATTGGGCTGTAGGTGCGATTTTTGATGCAGTACAATGGCACAAAATGCGATGGAATGAGCACATTATTCTTGGGTGTGGGGGTGCATCTACTTTAATGATATACTTACTATCTTGTTGTAAATATTTGGCATCTCAATTCAATAACAATCAGTTTGGGTATATTGCAATATGATCAATTTGCTTAATGATACATCATATCTATGTGATTAATAAAATCTATAAAAATTTACATTGTTGCCCAATTTGGGTGAAATTTTATTATTTATCATGAATTTTTTATTTTTATTTGCTGATATCAAATTTATAGAAGAAAAAATGACTAGGTGTAAATTTCTAGCTCTCAAAGTATATGATATACTGACCTTGCTAAATTTATTTCACCATAAATAACAGATGCTATAATGGAAGTATCCAAAGTGCAAACAAATTTTTTGATTCAGTAGTATGCAAAAGTAATCAAAATTTTCGATCCAGTAAAACAACAAAGCATAGGTTGAATTTTTAGTAAAGTAATACGCAAAGGTAAGAACAAATTTTTTAATCAGTAATATGTAAAGGTGATACATCAAAGTTAATCAAATTTTTTAACCCAGTAATACGCAAAAGTAAGAATAAATTTTTCGATAGTAAAACAAGAAAACATAGGACAAATTTTGACATGAAGTGGTAGTACCCAAAAGTATCGACTATGTGAGAAAGCTTTCTAGAGATCCAAAACATAGCATACTCATGGTATTACCCCAAGGTATAATTAATACAGATATACATATATTATAAAAATTATGCTTTGTGGTAGTACCAAATAAAGGATAACAATTTGGCACTATGTGCCTCACCCTTGATCAGTAATTGAATGCATCATTCAAAGCCAGGTCATGAATACTATTTCGGCACTTCATGCCTCACCCTCAAATTCAAATGTGACATGCAAAGCCAAAATACAGATTGCCAATTTGACACTTTGTGCTTCATCCTCACAATCAAAAAAGTTGGCAGTTCACCTAGGAAATGAATAACTTTTAAACCTCTAATAATTTGTCTAAGAATATCAATTTTGTTTTCCCATTTTAAATTTTTAAAATATTTTGCTAAATAATTTTGAAGATTTCCATCTTTTATATATGCCATTACAAATATATACTCATTTGCAACTGGATCTTGTGTTAATCCATAAACATGAATTATATCTCCTTTATCATGAAACTTTATATAATTTTTGAACTAAAATGACAAATAAAATATTTAATTAAAGCAATACTAATATTAAAAAAATCTGGAAATAAAAATAAAATAATTTACCTCATTAAGAAATTTATCAGAAAAATTCTGTGAATCATGTAGTTTTTTTAATACCACAGTCTTATCTTTGATGGTTCTGGTATAGTTTCCATTTTCATAACTTATATGTTTATAACCATTTAACCAAGTAGCTTTGTATATAGTTGCAAACCCACCTTCATTAATCTTTTCAATATTTGCTAAATTATTATGAGGAATCCATTGAAGATGATTATAATGACCAGTTGTTTCAAGTTGTCTACTTTTAATCAACTTGTCTAATGCTTCATTGCCACTCGACCATCCTTCAGTTAATAGCTTTGGATCACATGATTGACACCATGCCTTATTAGTGTTATATCTATTGCAAGTTGGACATTACCCAAAATATTTTATTCTTTTACCAGAATATTCATCATTTTTGTTAATAGAAGTGTCGTCATGATGTTTATTTTCATCAAAAGTATTTTCCATCTTTAAAATTTATTTGTGATTTTTTATTATTTGTGTAATAGACCAAAAAAAACTTTTTCTAAAGGAGTTATTTTTTAACCCAAAAACAATATATTTAATAAGTTCTCACTCAACCAACACCTATATTTTTGTTGAGTGAAATTCAAATTAGCCAATCAAATTTCATATTCAGATTTCAATTTCAGTTTCACATGCAACATTTCCTTTAAAAAAATTTTTTTTTATGATTTGTGTATATACCTGAATTACAACAATTCAGCATTACATAAAAAAAATCCTAAAATCGTTAAATTCATAATATTAAAATTTTTATTGTCCGTAAAAATAAATTCCAAGTCATGTGCCCACTAATTTATCATTGGTCGAAATTATGCATGAGAAACAATTAATCTTAAAAAATGGCAACGTACGAAAAAATTGAAAAACAATTAAACATTGCAGTTAAAAACCATGAAAATGCAGAGAATAAGTTGAAGGAATTTGAAGAAGGGGAGGACGATGGAATGTTGTTGAAGAAGAGGAAAGAGCTTGATGAAGAAGACAAGAAGGAGAAGGTGAGATTGGAGGAGGAAGAGAAGGAGCCGAAGAAGAACGTGAACAATAGGTTGAAACAGGTGGAGAAGTTGCAAGATGCACTTGTAGATTTGAATAAAGAAGAAAATGGTAATGAACAAATTGTGTAAAAAAATATACAAAAAATTATTTTCCATTCATTCTGTTTCGTTTATTTATTTGGCATACTGTTAATGGCATTGACTAACTTGTGTTTTTTTTCAATACTTCAATTTTAATCACTTTTTATCATCTATCAATTATTATTTAGCCATAGAAAATAAACATAAACGTAAAGCCAGTATTGAGGACACAGAAGTTTATATAAAGGATCTCATGAAGAAAATAAGACTATCAGATTCTCCAAGTTCAATTGCAAAGCCAAAGAATTGAATAAAAATACAAACCAACTCAAATTTATTTTAATCATTGTCCAGCAGAAGCTTCTGTAAATCCTGTTACTCTTTAACATTCCATCTTTGGAACCTTTTTTGAAGATTGTAAAAATATAGAGCCAAACAACGTTGATTATGCCTTTGTTTTAGATGTAGTTTATTCTATGCCAAATGTGTTTGATGATGAAAAAGCAAGAAAGGAGGAATTTAGGAGATTATTTAGAGAACATTACAAGATCACTTTTAATGACTATGCAGGTGAGAGGATGACAACCGATGGCACTTCCTTTAGTAAAGGAGGCATGTATATGATAAGTAATCTAGAAGTGAAACCAGAATCAGGTGTTGGAGGCTGCTGCCCCTATAATCAAGGCAATGCATACTATGCAAAGTATATTGCAAATCTTCCAATACAAGATATTATCAAAACTCAATTACCATGTTTTCTATTATACCTCGCAGGTTAAATTTGAATTTTCAACATATATATTATTTCTTGTTTCATATTTTTGGATTATTCTGAATCTTTTTCTTTTTGTAGGACCATATATTGGCATTGCTGGTGTAATTTTTGGAGAAAAATTTTTATGTGACCCTCTAACACTGATTTTACCATTGTTTCATCTCCCACAATACTGACACTTTATGGAATGCCTAGCTTGAACATTTTGTGCTCTCAAAAAGGCATTGGATGCATTAGACATTTACTATCAAAATCTTCCTTGGATTGATTCTTGGCAAATTAAATTTCCATACATCACTTCACTCAAGGTTTCAGGTGGAGCAGAAATTCAATTTAAATATCTCAAACAACTTTATGAAAGCAAATTATTGTTTCTTGTTGAACAATATAATGATAATGCTGATTGCACCCTCTTCCCACAAAGACTACTTGTGAAATTTGTACAACAATATGGAATAGAGGCACATAAAACCTGTGCTGATTTGGGCATTGCACCTAAGGTTGCTTGCCAAAACTCCTCCAGAAATCAATCAGCAGGGTTTTGGCAGGTTACACATTAATTGTTTATTAGAGTTTCAGCAGAGTTTTACATTTTGAGGTTTCACCATTTTGGCATAGTTTCAACAGGATTTTTGATAAGATTTAATATAGTTTTGCCATGGTTTCAGCAATTACTAAGGAGGTTTCGCCCACAACCTTAAGCCCAAACTAGTTTGGGCAATTTGAGCTTCTCAGCATTTTTTATAAACATTAACATTAAAAAACTATACCAATCAACTTATTTTAACCTAAACAACTTTAAAGTAATTTCACCCAATTTCGGCTAATAACAAAAAATAGTTTGGCTCATAAAATAGCAATTTTTGTCCAAAGTGTTTTGGCAATTTCAGCTACTAATAAATAGGTTTTCAGCAAGAAACATCAATCACAATTGCATTACCATTGTAATATTTATAGGATTATCTCTAGATAAAAATAATTAATATGAAACTCATTTATATCAGATCTACTGAATTATATTACTATCTTGAAAAAGGAACAAGATGAAAAATTACTATTTTGCAATATTACTCAGATGACATAAATATTTACTAGCATTAGTAATCATTAATTAGTAAGTGAGTAATACAGAAATTAGTAATTAATAAGCATATTTTATTGGACAAAATATTGTAAAAGTCATGTTATTTGCTATACCTCAAGAGGTATATATAATTATACATGCTGCCCAAATCCCAAATCATTTGCAATTATGGTATCCCAAATGTACAAAGTGAATTTGGGCCAGCCTGTCAAGGAATTCCTAAATCCCAAACTACTTTGTACACCCATGGCACTCTGTGTCCCAACCAATGAGTACCTAGAATTTGTGAAAGCAATCAGCAACCCTTTTGTTATATTATATGATTATTGGTTAGATAAGCAGGGCAGAAAGATTGATCTACATTTGGGATTTGTACATTTGGAATGTATAAGTAAGGACGTGGCATATATTTTAGGGGTAAGGTAACAGAAAATCTTAAGTCACACATAATCTCATAAATAACATTATCATTATGGCTTCAGTGAAAGATCTGCATTTTTATAATTTTGGATGCAAAATATTTTAATTTGGGAATGATCTACATGTAAGCCAATTGTCATTTACACAAAAAATTGTATAGTTGGCTTGGTCTAAAGACCTCCTAAATTTTGGGCAAATTTTTAAAGTATAGAAGTCACTTTCTGTCCTACCTTTTAAAAAGATAGCTCTATTAGTTGATAGAATATGTCTTTAGTTTTAATGTAATAGAGGGATTTTCTCAAAAAAATTATTTGTTGTGGAGTTCTATTCTTTTTTAAAACATGTACTTTACTATGCTCGCAAGGAAATTGTCCACTATGATCATTTCTAAATTTAGGAAAAATATTACCAAATTTAGACTAGCTCTTAACTATCGTATCTAAATTTGACAGTAAGAAAACTAAAATCATGTGAAGTCCTATTTTTTGAAAAATTTTATTACATTTTTTGAATGAATTACAAAATTGCTATTTTTGAAATTTGGCCGTATGGCGCAGCAATAGGAGGTCTTTAGACCAGTGTTGAAATTTCGTTGTGTAACCAGTACAAATTTAGAAACTATCTCCAAAAATTAAAAGGTTGATTGATGTGTAATGTTACACCCCGCATTCCCCACACCAAATTTTCAACACTGCTTTAGACCAAGCCAAACATACTATGCTCGTGAGGAATTTGTACACTATGTTCATTTTTAAATTTAGGAAAGATATTACCAAATTTAGACTAGCACTTGACTGTTGTATCTAAATTTGGCAGTAAGAAAACTAAAATTTATTTTTTGAAAATTTTATTACATTTTTGAACGAATTACAAAATTGCTATTTTGAAATTTGGCCGCATGGCGCAGCAATAGGAAGTTTTTAGACCAAATCAACCATATTACACTTTTTGTGTTACAGGATGATATGGCAATTAATATTTATTTTATTTATAAAATTCTCACTTCTCATATGCATAAATGTTATAATTGATCATTCTTTATCTGATATACATTTCCTTAAATATATTTTGTCAAAAAGAGGTCACTTTGGTTGTGATTGAGAAGAGAGAAAATCCTTGAGTTTTGTTCTTTAGATTTTCCTTTAGCAAGATGTATTGTTTGTAATTTTCAAATAAGTAAGAGTTACTACACTCAGAACCAAATAGGTTGTTTGGTCAAGAAATAGTCAATGCAAATTATACCCAGGAATTTCAAGAGATCATAATATATTATAAAGGAATTTTTTACTTCAATGTAATGTTGCTTTTAAAATGTTTGATTTTATAATTCTTTTTTTAGCTTGTGCTTTGTTGATACCTAAAAAAGGCAAATGATTGTCATACACGTGATCAAATTGTCTTACCTGGAGGTGGGGGGTAAGTGCTTCTATTAAAATGATATTAGCTAATATATGTCAGTGCCCTAATTTTGGATTTGGGATTCTTGATTTTTAATTTGGGCACATCAATAGCACAAATACACATGGCTTTTGACCAAGTTAGAATCATCATGTTCATGATGTAACAATAATAACATAATATATTCTTGTAACAAATAATATTGATAATAATAAACATAACCCTTTTATATTAAATAACCTGGCTGTTACTAATAAAACATTTATTAAAACTCTTGCTGTAAAGCAACCCTCATCTTTAATTAAATACTATCCTGCCTTTGAATGCCTTAGCTAGAATAGTTATATATAATCTATTTTATTATCTTAGGCTGTGTGCTGGAAATGCTTAGCATTAGCACTGCAGTAGGAATTGCACAAGAGTTGTGTGCCTGTGATACTAAGGTAATTGTATCAGATTTGGGCTGTGTGCAGAGATGGATAAACTTATTAATTTTTAGACATTTTTATATTTATTTTATCATATCTTTTATCAGACACATCTCAAGCTCACAATTGAAATTATACACTTGCAATATGCTTTCTAAAGTTATGTAGCCTCTTTTTATTTTATTTTTTTAAGGTTTTGGCACTTGGTTTTTGCCTTAGTTAATATGAAAATAAAAAAAAGCTCTCTGTATTCTTATTTAATGATAACTCTATATAACATCTATCCTTAATTTGAAGTCTATATGTCGTTTCCTTAAAAAGTTATCAGGGGTTGAAATTTATTTTTGCTATTTGAAAATGATCAGCAAAAAATCCCCAATAATGAAAATATAATATTGGGCCCCGAACAAAGTATGACATTTAAATCTTATTCCACTATTATGAATGTCAGTAAAATTATAAATAATCAGTTAATGCTTGCATGTGGGAATGGTTGATATTTGGATAAAAGTTCTAAAAATGCAACTAATTTGTTGTTGTTGTTTTGCGAGGATGATGTGAATTTGAGGGTTTGGAAGGGCGAGAAAAGTAAGGAAATAATAATTAATTGACCAATCATTTATTCAGTACCTTTCTGATTGGAAATATATTCTTTGTTGCCTCTTGTATTGTACTCTCTCATTATTCAATCCCTGTCTAATATATATTTTACAAGAGCTTTTGATGAAAAATTTTTTTATTGTATTTTCAAATATTTTCCTTTTCATGATTTTGTCAACTTCATTCTGAACATTTCTCTTTATCATGGTCAAGCTAAGGATGAAATTAAATTAATCAAACAAATCAAGACTTAAAAAAAGTACATTTAAAGTAATCAACAAAGTCTCTTTGAATCAAGGCTTCTTCTTCTTCATCTATTCTCTCAATGATTTTCATGGAAGATTGCAATAGGTTATCATGCAAGTAAATACTGTAAAAAACACAGACAGTTACTTTCTAGTTTATTTACCAAAATCTTTGAATAAGATGAAAAATGTAAATTGTAATTCTAAGTTTCCAGGCTAAATGGAGTAAGATAAGATGAGATCATATCCATGATGTCATTTGATTTATTAATTATTTATAATAAAACTAATCCATTTTTCATACAAAAAAAATTATATATATATGCATTTATCAGTTTTGCAAATACTTTGATAATATTAAAAAATAATACAAAATATGATATAAAAAGAAAGTGGTAAATGATTAAACTTTCTATTAAAAGTTTTGGTATATATTTGCAGCAAAATATCATGATTAAATGAATGTTTATTCATTTCATGATAATATTAAAATTAAAATAAATAATAAACAGCAAATATATAAATATAAATAGTTTTTTTAATTAATCATCATCATCATCATCATCAATTGATTTTGATTTTCCAAATCCATCAAAATAATCTTCCAAATAATGTTCATCAATGTCTTGAACAGAATTTAAAGCACCATTTCTTTTAATACAAAAAAAATTTTTTTGCAAAAAATTAAGTGAAAAATGACCCAAATTATCAATTAAATAAATATAAATAAAGCAGTTGTTGATAATATATTATTATTACCTAGTTAAAACATCTTCAACATTATCGACATCAAAGTTAGTTTCACCAATTTCATCAGTAACCTTCACCAAATTTACTATTAATCTACCATTTCTATAAACCAGTAAAGTTGGTAAACCAACTACATCAAAATCCAAATCATTTGCTAATATACGTAAAAACTTTGCCTTGACATATTTACGTGCTAAATTTGCTAGACAATCATTTAATAATCTACATTGTGGAATTGACTTATTAAAAAAACATTAATAAATGAATAAATTTTAATATTAAATAACTCCACAGATAAATAATAATGTATATACAATTTATTACTTACATTATCAAATATGTGCACAACTATACTAACATTTGAAGGTTCTTCATCTATAGCTTTAACATATTGATTTGAAGAAATTTCTTTCAAATTACCAAATCGTTTCCTCTCAATGTTACTACTATTACCATTATTATTATATAATTTATGAAACTGCTTTATTTTCATCTCCTTTAGTCTCATCTCTCTATATTTCTCTAATATTTTTTTTTCTTCTTCATTTGACTCAACATCTTCCAATTCTTTTAACAATTCTTCATCATTATTTTGTAAATTTAATAGTTTTTCATCTTCTTGATAAGATGTTGTTGTTATAGCTTTTGATAGCATTTTTTCATTGTATGCCTTTATTGATTCATTTTTTTGTTGATTCATTTGTTGTTTATGAAAGGCCTGATCTGCCAATACACCCTTTGGACCTGTTTGTGGTCCATAATGTCTCGTTGATTGAAGCTGTTGTTGTTGTTGTTGCAAAGGCTGAGAAGTGCTATTTTCTTCATCCTAGTAATTATTATTGTTATTATTATTTTCTAATGTAGTTTTAAGAAATAAAAAAATTAAAATCATTTTTACATCCGAAGTTTCTTCAACATCAGACTCGTTCGGTGTTCTTGTTGGTTCTTTTTCTTCGTCGTTAAAAGAATGATTTAATAATATACTTTCAACTAACGAATCCATTGTTTTTTGTTGTAATGTTAAAATTTGTATAAAAAAAAAAATATCCCAAAATTTTAAAAAATTTTCACTCGTGTAATAATTATGATGTCAATTATTTTGGATCTTGCAAGTTTTCCGAAAAATACACATTTCCAAATAAATGTAATAAGTTTTTTTAATTTAAAATCAAATTCACATGTATATATATTTATTTTATTTCTCCCTTCTCTTATTTATATTTTAATTAAATAAATTTTTTCAAATAGCGATAATTAAAAATCTTCCTTCAAAATGACTTCTAATAATTATATCAACTCTTATCAATTTACTAATGGCACCAATGGTGTAAATAAAGGAAATGTTCATGCTCAAACTACTCAAAATTCCACTCAAATCACTTCCTCATCTTCAACAGCAATAACTAATACTAATACCGTTTCAAAGTCCCAAAATAATGAACAAAATCAAACTCCCAATAGTGGTTTGACTCATACACCCTCTGTGAGAAAAAAAGGCATTAAAGACTTTGAGATTGGCAGAACTTTGGGCGAAGGTTCTTATTCAACTGTATGTAAAGAATTTTTATAAAAAAAAAAACAATATGTACTTGTTGTAACCAAATTTCTAATTATTTATTATCTTATAAAATGGAATTAACAAAATTAAAGGTGATGTTTGCAAGGGACCGTTCAACGGGACGAGAATATGCAATGAAAATACTTGATAAGAAACATATTATAAAAGAAAAAAAGGTTAAATATGTACATATTGAGAAAAATACATTGAATAGATTAAACCATCCTGGGATTATTCGTTTATATTACACATTTCAAGATAGTGACAATTTATGTATCCTTTGATTTTTTGCTTTGTGGAGAAAAAAAGATTATTCCAAATCAAATTTTTCCTTAATATTAATTCTTTTGAAAAAAGATTTTGTGCTGGATCATGCCAAGAATGGCGAATTATTAACCTTTATAAAAAAGGTTGGTGGATAATTATAAACTGATCAGTGTCAATCAAAAAAAAAAATAATATTATTATTATTAGTAGATTGATAATTAATAAATCGTTAATTATTTTCAAAAAATAATAGCTTGGATCATTTGATATTAATTGTACACAATATTATGCTGCACAAATCTTATCAGTCATAGAGTATATGCATAGTCAAGGTGTAATTCACAGGTGAGGACCCTTTTTATTGTTTAATCAATTTCTAAATAATAAATATTAATAACGTTTTTTTATTATTATTTGAAAAGGGATTTAAAACCAGAAAAGTAAGTAATCAATATCAATTGATGATTAATAATGTAATATTAATAAATATTATTATCATTTAAAAGCATATTATTAGATGAAAGAATGCATATTAAGGTTACTGATTTTGGAACTGCTAAATTATTAGAACAAAATGAACACGGACTAGAAGGTTAATTAAAAGTATTATAAATATTGATATATATATTATATAATATTATTATTGTAATTCAACAATAATGAAAAAACAATAATAGATGATCGAGCAAATTCATTTGTGGGCACAGCAGAATATGTAAGTCCTGAACTTTTAAAAGAAAAATCAGCTTGCAAAAGGTTTGAATTTTTTAATTTGGATGGCAACTTTACAATATTAGATTAATTAATTAATAGATAAATATGTGCATATATATCATGAAGGTTGTTCATATTTATATATAATAATGTATTTTTAGATTATAGCACAGAACAAAAAGGAATTAGCGCTAAATATTTTAGTTGCTAATTGAATCTATCACCAAACAAGCGAATAAATTGAAGCCGCCAATCTTCATTCTATTCTAAAAGGATCTCTCTCATAAGAAATGATTAGAAAATAATATCACCGAAAACCAAGGCCGAGTGTATAACCCTAATGAAGCACCCAACTAAACCAATAATCATATGTTAGCCAAGACATTCGTTAGGATTTTACCTCTTTATGCTATTAAGCCCTTCTGAAACGTCGTTAGAACTCCCGACCACCTTTAATTAATGAGAGAACGAGATCAATGAACGTAAAAGGTCAATCTACCTGCAGAAGAAGACCAAGATCGTGATCCTGTTTAAATATTGATTTTAATTCGAATTATTTGTTGAAACCGACTCTGTTACACGTTGCCGATGTAGTATTTAGATGTGGGTAATACATTCTGGTGTTATAGTTCAGGAAAGTCTATAAATGCGATGGAATTTTTAGTCATGAATTAAATAGTTGATTTCATATATAACTTTATTGGTGACTTTTTTTCTGTTTATTAAAAATGAAATTTACTGATGCGAGTATATTAGTCTTTTATTTAGTATTTATATTAATATAAATTCAGTAAGAATAGCATATTTAAAATGAAACTTTTAAGGAACCAAAGTTTTAAACGATATTTGAGATTAATGTAGTTTGACAACATTATAATTTTTTTTATTTCCATTTTCCCAAATAACCGACTAAATCTCATTATTATTGATACTTTATTTAATAATTCTTTAAATTTAAGGCTCTACGAATTGTGTTTTGATTCGATTCAATTCAATTCAATTAAAGCCTTATTCGAGTCGATATATACTATCTAATGCATATAAATTCGATTTGAATCAATATATACTATCAATTAAAATTATCAAAAAATTAGAAACCCGACTCAACCAGATTCGTTCAGAGCTTTAATAATAAGAAATAATTAAACTTATTATTTTTAATCTGTGTAATTAATTCGTCGATTGTTTTGTTACTCACCACTTCATCCTTGAGTTAATAATTGTGGATTACATGAATACCAGACATTATATCTATTACAAATTGAACATTCACCATTTTCTTATTCTTTCTTTTGTTTGGAATATTATAATTTATAAAAATATTGTACATATTAAATATATCATTTTTTCACGAAAAAATTGCTGCGTTAGACATATTCATTTGAAAGTTTATTAATTACTTTATTAAATAATAAAAATTTGATATTGTCCAGATTTTATAAAGCTGATTCGCGTATTTTTCTTAAAAATTTACTAAACTTTAATAATTGCCCCAACGCAAAAACATACATCATTTTGTATAGGAGGAACCTGATTATTTGAAAAAAAAATTAATATTCTAGTAATATATTCCAAAATTTTTACTAGTCTATTTTTTTTTTTTTTTTGAAACACGTTGTACATTTTGAATTTAAAGAAGTCTTTATATTGTTGTCTTGATCCAAGTGATGTGATTTTTTGCTCCTTACAACAAAAGACGCAATCCAAACTCAACTTTAATAAATTTTTGATCTCGAGCAGCACGGCATGCATGATATAGTGTAATACATAAAAAACAAAAGGCTCGCTTTGCATTCTCATTCATAAACTTGTTATGGTTTATTATTAAGTCATTCTTATTTTTCCACAAACCACAGAATTTTATGAAAAAATACATTATTTATTATGTCTCTCCCTGAGAAAATATTGTCACCAAATACTACAACATTATCAACTGTGAATCATATGGAAATGTGTGTGGTCAAAATAATCGAAGGAAAAGATATTAGTCATTAATAATGGAATCCACATTAACAATCCAGAAAATATGAAAGCATCAAAGAATATAGATATCTATATAATGAGCATGTTTATTTCTTAGAAGACAATTATAATATTAAAAGGTCATGTTGGCTACAAAATTAAAAGAATTTTTTGGATTGTTTTGATGGGATAGAGCTTTTAACTGTTCATTACTATGGTTTATGCTATTTAACAAAGAAAAAATGATAGGAGATAGATAGAATTCGGTTATTTAGAATTCAAGATGTTTAATGAATATTTATTTCATGATATAATTAAAGGTTGTGTATATTCGTTTGTGGGATTTTTTTTTTTTTGATGCCAAAATTATAGCAAATTTCTTGCTGCAAGTAGAAGTAGTCAATTAATAACAATATTTCAATGAATTGATTATATCCTCTTATTCACTAAGCAATCAAGCTCGAGATACACATCAATAGTCTGAAGGAGCCTGAAGAAACTTTGCCATTGGCAATGAAATTTTCCGAAGAGGTTATGAAGTATCCTTTGTTTACTAAAACTTCATCTAATGGTATTAATTGCCTTCTTTAGTTTACGAAATAACCGATAGTAAAGGCTTTTTACTTCTAGAAACCAACAAACATTATTTGCAATTACGTATACAGTGATCCCTTGTTTCAACGAAGTATAATTAAATTTTGATACAACAAATTTTTAATAAGAATAAATAATTGATCTTATAACACTTTGGTAATAAAAATAACACTTTTTTTAATTGATAAATCTGGCATGATTGATCGATTCATAACTCTTTCCAATGATTAATGGTTTGGCCAACATTTAATTATTAGCTAGGAACCCTTTATTAGTTTTACTATATTGCTTGTAGGGACACCTCAAGTAGTATAGTTGTATATTTTAGTTTAGTTTGAACATTATTGTACCAGATTTAGTGACTCTGCAATAGAGTTGAGTTCTATTCATAATAAAAGTTTTGTTCAAATTATTCAAATCATTCGTTTTGTTTTAATTGTTATCATTCGTTTATTATTTGAATTGTTATTATCATTCGTTTATTATTTGAATTGTTATTATCATTCGTTTATTATTAGAATTGACATAATTCGTTTATTATTCGAATTATCATCATTCGTTTTATTTAAATTGACATCATTCATTTATCATTCGAATTGTTATCATCATTAGTTTATCATTCGAATTGTATCATTTGTTTATTCGTTTATTATTATTATTCGAATTGACATCGAATTGTATCATTTGTTTATTATTATTATTATTATTATTCGAATTGACATCATTCGTTTATTGTTATTATTCGAATTGACATCATTCGTTTATCATTCGAATTGGCATCATTCTTTTATCATTCGAATTGGCATCATTCTTTTATCATTCGTTTATCATTCGAATTATCATCATTCGTTTATTATTTGAATTGTTATCATCATTAGTTTATTATTCGAATTGACATCATTCGTTTATTCAAATATTTGTTTTGCTTGAATTATTCATTTTATTTTGTTTATTCATTTTATTATTCGAATTGTTTATTCAAACTATTCAAACTATTCGAATTATTATTATTCGTTTATTTGTTTTATTTAAATTATCAATTGAATTATTTGTTTTATTTGTTTATTTGTTTCGTTTGAATCATTCGTTTATTGAATTATTGAATTATTGAATTATTCATTATTCATTTTATTCAAATAAACTTTCAATGTAATTCGAATACTCAAATTCATAACAAGTAAAACAAATAATTTGAATAAACCCTTATTCAAATAGAAACCCTAATACTAATCAAGCAGTATAGTTGTGTTCTAGTGATTTTAATTTAGTTTGTCATATTTGGTGACTCCAATAACTCTGATCGCATGCTTGCAATATTTATTACAGTTTTATGACTTTAGGGTGTCAATGCTGAATTGTTGTAGTTTAGGTAAAATTTAATTTTTTTTTTAGATAAATCTAAATATATATTTAATATATTTTTTGTGATACATATTTGTGGCCGAAAAAAAAAATTTTTTTTTACAAATATACAAAAACCACAATGGAAAACATTTTGGATGAAAATAAACATCATGTCGATACTTCTACTGATGAATATGATGAATATTCAAAGAAAAGAGATGAAGGATATGGGGAATGTCCAACATGCAAAAGATATAATACTAATTATTCATGGTGTCAATCATGCAATCCAAAATTATTAACTGAAGGATGGACTAGTGGCAATGAAACATTAGATAAGTTGATTAAAAGTACACAACTTAAAGCAAGAAGATATAATAATAAATATCATCTTCAATGGATTCCTTATAATGATTTAACAAATATTGAAAAGATAGGTGAAAGTGGATTTGCAACTATATCCAAA